ATCCAAATCTTTCTTGGAAGAGAGCACCAGGTTCACACGTGGATAAATGTCCTGGTAACAGGCAAGTCGATCCCATTATTGACCCACCTCTATGGGCCTAAGATAAGAATACTGCTGCTTGTTAATGTTGTCTTATCTGCTAAGGAAACACATTTCCTTCTCAATACAAAAGAAGCTGTGATATGACTGAAAATGGCACCAAACATGAACTATAAACATCTTAAAAAAAGAAAAGACTATAACACTATATAGAAATAATTTTCTGGATTAAAAAAAAAAACATACAAAAATTATCTTTTGCCCTCTGAACTGCCTGTATATTTAGAAACACAGAAATTGATGAAGTAACTAAACTGTTTAACTCAAAGAAAGGCGATCAACTTCTTCTACAAAGCAGAGAACTCTCTTGTTCTCTCCCTAAGCTGGAGGGGATAATGGGAGGGTGGCCTTAAACATCTGCTTGCGAAGTATTTATTCCCTAAATCATTGTCATTAGATCCAGAATAAATTGTGCTTTAAAAGGGAGCAAAGAGCTTTCAGCCTTCATCAGACAAGTGGAGGCATGAAGCCAAGACCTAGGAGATGGGGGAAGCAAGGAGAGAGAGACTTATATGGCAAAAAATCATTTTCATTTTGACTGGATTTCAATACTGTAAAAATGCAGAAAGCAGCACTTTGACTGATATGAAGAAATAGCTAAGTTAATGGAATTTTACAGTCCGGATATGTGAGAAACTTCTAAGGTCATCGTGATGAAAGGAAACGCATCTCATCAGCAGACTCATGCTTTATTTTACCACACAAGTAGCTGAGGCTGTTTCAGAAGAGAAACCGTCATCTGTTCTGGAGGTCTTGCTGTATTTATGAGCAGCTTCAAAGATGATTTCACTCTCTCTCTCTGTTAGAGGAAGAGAGCGGAAGAAGACCCTTTGGCTGTTTTTGTTGTCATGTTTTTTTACTAGAAAAACATCTTGGAGCAGAAGGGAGTGATAGCAAAACAATAATTTAAGCAGCTAACATGCATTAGCAGAACATTTTTCATTTTTACAGCCAGTTGTAACACGATGGCTGATTTTACAAGACTTACTTTATATGTCTACATCAGTATTAGACTTCAATAAATGTGAGAAACAAGAAGCATAGAACATGAGTCAATCTGCCTCATCATGAACTGTACAACTTTTAAAATGGTTCAGTCATAAGTAACCAACTACAAAAAAAGGCCTTGGAAAAAAATTGAAAGACCCCCCTCTCCCCCCTTTTTTTAAACACAAAAAAAAAAGTGTAAAAACTGTTTCTCTGTGCTGCTAAAACATTGCCCTGTTTGTTTGAGAATTCCGACCAGCCCAGCATAGCAACACCAGCTCAACCAATGATGCGAGTTTGGGGCGGGTCTATCTGCTTGGTTGGCCAATGGAAGATGAGAAGAATGTTCGTTAAAACCATTATTTTTGCAATTCGGTTTGGTGATGCTAGTCATGCAAAAATTACACACTTCACCTTTAGGCAATTATTAAGAAATGATTCTAGAGCATCTATATTTCACAGATAAAAACAGGATAGAAATATGAATTTGGAATGGCCCACTAGTACCTACTACCTCCTCTGAAGTGCGCATCTGATGGACACTTTGCCATCCCGTAATACTGTAGTATCTAGTATGTTAGGATAGTATTCATACTAGACTTTACATAATTATTTATGCCACTATGGCATCCACACCATTTAAACAGACTAAACTGCTGATTGGTGTTACTGGGGTAATTTTCATTGCACAACTGCCTACACAATATTACATGATTATCTGATTTTAAGCTTTGAATTTAATTTGGTAACGCTTTAGTATAGGGACCAATTCTCACTATTAACTAATTGCTTATTAGCATGCCTTTTATTAACATATTGGCTGTTTATTAGTACTTATACAGCACATATTCTGCATGACCATATTCTACATCCCTAATTCTACCCAATACCTGAACTTAACAACTACCTTATTAACTATTAATCAGCAGCAAATTAGGAGTTTATTGAGGCAAGAGTCATAGTTAATGGTTTGATACAAGTGAGAATTGGACCTTAAAATAAAGTGACCTTTAATTTATTATTGTGTGCTTTTCACCAAAACTCAACCTTTTCCTATGTACCAAGCTTCACCATATACCATGGCAAACCTACATACTATACATGTATACTTACAGAGCATACTTTATCTTGTAATGGTTAAGGACCAAGTTCTTTCTCAAATGTAGTACATACTCTTAATAAAAAAAATCTCAAAATGTGTTTCAAATCATAAGGATAACCCTATATGATAGCTTACAGTGTTAACATTATAGTCTTTACTGACAGCATAAATGAACTGGGAAGCCCTGTTGTCCCAGGACAGCTATAAACACAGTTAGGAGCGTGTCATGTGTTTGGCCTGAACAGTGAATGATCTTTTCCCTTGTTATCTCAGGAAACTGTGCAAAGGGCCTACATATAGCTCAATGATGGGTGGATGACGTAAGGCCTAAATATACTCACATTTCAAAAAATAAAACAAGTCATAATGCACATGGAACATGATGAAAACATGGGTGGGCATTTCCTATTGGCTTTGTGAAAGGGCTACATCCGTCTGCACTGCGCCCAGATATTTTGAAGGAAAAATGAAAAGAAAACAAGACACCAAAGAACCACTGAAAATACTGCCTGAAGCAGATAGCATGACATAAACAGCACCCACATCCCAGACTTCCACTGATGCAACTATTGGGAAGTCGGTTTCATCCAAACCCATCAGCGCAGCCTTTACAGCTCAACCATCTGACGAACAGCACAGCTCAGCCTGAGGTACAAGCCTGGGGCAGCACCTATTTTGCCATGCTTCCTAACACTGGAAATTATAAATCACTGTGTAAATGAAGTCATGTTTATGTTTCAGAGATGTTTCAGAGATGTTTCAGCGTGGGGGCTGGCTGCCTGGGATCAACGCAGATGTCAAGACGCCCACCCTGATGTTAGCTTACTCATGAGACGCACAACTAACACTGCTAGAAAGCTATACAAAAAGGATCTATGTGTCCAAACATAGTTGCAGGCGCCCACTGATTCCCTCCAGTTCAATGCTCTCTGTTTTCTCAGGTCATAAAATGCACCCCTCTCCCCTCTGCAACATGACCCCAGGAAGTGAAGATGGAGGGAAAAACACAACAGAATGAGGCAAATGTACAACATGTGGAGCTGAAAATTCCCCAACTCATTTCTGGTCAGACAAAACCAAACCCACAGCTTTCCCAACATGTATTTTTGTCTAAAATACGTCAAAATTCATTACAGTTTGTGGTACACCACTGTAATATCATATATATTGCCATTTATGTGGATCCAACATGCACACGTCACCATTTTAGGGCTTTACCATAGTTCCACAGAGGTGTAGCACACCATTTTTATGTCATAAATGTTAGCAACCAACATTTATAGAAACCCCATCCTCATCATTACTATTATTGATTCAAGATTTAGGACTATTACGTTTTCTGTTTGCTCATATTGTTTCTTTCAACAGTCTTATAACTTTCTGTTGTCTCACGGTGTCTCAAATACATGTTTTTCAAAAAGACAAATGCTGAAGTTGGAATACATACTACTCTTACTATTTCTGCCATACACAAATATATAGACGAAATAGTTAGAACAGTATGGTAGTATTCTATTTACAATTTAGTCATGTTTTATTCTTTTCTAATGCAAGTATATGGAAGAGCTGTGTGTTTGCCAATTTCCAATTTTATTGAAAGGATCCAAAAACATGGTAAATAGTTCTTGTGGGGTCTAGTGGTAGTGTTGCAAAAATAACAAAATGTACCAGTTATCGAGTGCAATTACTTTCAAATGTGGCTTTGTTTTTTCAGATGACTGTAAGAAGCATTTGGAGCAATTCTGATGAATTCAATCAATTCTGTCTTTACCATTTTCAATCATGTTATAGCAAAAAGCATATGTTATAGCAGTTTTTAGGAAAAAACAAAACAAAGGCAGATTAAATTTATTTCCAGTTAATTTATTCTATTTTACAAGTACATTTGACTGGAAACCATGCTGTTCATGGAAATTTACAGTTTATTTCTATGGGATATTCTGTAAATTTTAGTTAGCCCCAGTAACAAACGAGGGTAGAGCTTAGTGTTACCATTATGATGAAGTCACGTTGGATCTGCTAAATGAATAAATGTAAAAGTAAATGTACTTCAAAGATTAATGTCCTGACTCAAAAGATATTTGACACCAGAGTGTGACAATACTTGATGACCATGGTGCTGACTATGAACTTTCCCCCCTATATATTCTTTCCGCCCTGATGCCTTTGATATCACTAAGCTTCAGTTCTGAATTCATTATAGTCAATTGCTATGTAAAGCCATACATAAGAACATAATTATGGTGCCAAGAGTCCAAACCCTGTCTGGATTGCACTAATCCCAATGGTAAGTAAATTAGGCGTCTTTGGATTGGGTGAGATCATGGTAGCAGAGATTAACACACCTGAGAAATTTAACTGTATAAGGGGCTGATTCTGTAGCCTCTGGCAGTGTTCGACTCAGCTATGTCTGCCAGGGATGACTTTACTGGGTAGGCAGTGATGACAGACTCCCCTGAACTGTTATCACTGTTTGCACTCAGCTATTTGTTGATATGCCAGGAATTCATATTTTTGTGTCTTTTTTTTCTCTCCCATCACCCTTTTTTTTCTACAGTACGTCAGTGAGGTGCAGAAAGACAGCTGTGATGACAGCAGCACTTCAAATAAAGTGCTGCCTTTAGACCCACACAGTTCTGTTTACTCAACTAATTGTATTCATTGCAAAGGGCATACCTCCCATTTTAAGTGCGCGCTCAATAGAAAATCTTTTTCCGACATGAAGCGTAACCACCGGTAGCATTGACCCAGTTCTGTTAGTTATTAGCTACTAAGACTCTGAAACTGGAATATTAAGGACACTACATCTTACCTTCTGATCTCTTGAGCTCCTTACGTTGTATTGCTGGTGAGTCTTTTTTGATGCCATTACTCAGGGGGATGGCCTGACTTGGCTCAGACACTGGCACCTTAGTCTCCACTTTGGAGAAAGAGGCGATTCGCTGTAATATGGAACCCACGCTCTCTTTGGCATGGACATCGTCCTGATCGATATCATTGCTGATCTCCATCCGTCCTGACAGGGAAGGTGAAGCAGGGGCCACCTGGACCACTTGGGGCTTAGAGACCACGTTGAACTGTGGAGTCTGGGCTGGAGACAGAGGCACTGGAGATTTGCTGATGTTGGGTACTGGGATAGCTCCAGGAGGAGTGATGGGCTCTTTCTTTTCAATGATGCTGTTGTTGTTGTTGTGGGCCATGGGTAGGTCGGCGCTGTCCAGGCTGCTGATGGATGCAGAGGGACTTGCTGAGACAGTGGGACTGTTGGATAGCGTGTGGAATCTTGGAGGTGGTTTAGGTGCTCCTGTGGATTCCGTCTGAGACTTGAAAACCAAGTTATCAAGGTCAAGAGGGAACTTGTTGAGGCGAACCGGATCTTTAGGCTTAGGTGGCTGGCTGTTGATAGAGGAGTCTCTTGCAAAGGAACTGCTGTTCTGGATGTTATGGGGACTCCACTGCAGACCTGTATTGGTGAATCGTGATCCAGGCGAAATCACTTGTCTCATTCCTGCAGTCTCCATCTGGAGGTCCAAAGAAGGCATGGAGCCATGGCTAATACTCATGGGTTCAGTTGAAATGACCAGAGGACCCTCCAGCTCTGAATGGAACATGTTTCCATGTGAGGAGAACTTCTTCAGGGCAGGGCTGCCTAAACGTTGGGCTTTGAATTCCCCAACACCAACAGGACTCTGGGGAGGGCTTGTGTAGGAGCAGAGTTTTGAAGAGGCCTGGTACTCCAGGCTGGAAGACGAGCTATGGAGACTGTCATTGTCACTTCCTGGCCCGGAAGACGAAGTGAAGCCGTTGGGGTTGAATTTGTTTTGAAAAGAGGCAGCTCGGTTGATCCCAGAGCTGGCATTGATAGTGGGCTTTCCCATTGTCCCTCGGTTGAAGGAGAGACTGGACACCATCCTATTTCTCATAACGGGGCTGTGGGCAGGACTGCAGCTGATACTAATCCTGGAGCGATAAGGAGGAGACACTTGATTCCCTGGACTCCTCACATCATTTGTCTTGTTGAGGATAGCACTCGGGCTGATGGGAGATGTGACAGAAGATGTAGAGGAGAATGTGGGAATCTCGTTCACATCATCAATATCAAAGGACCTCTTCAGAGCTGTATGAGGAAAAAAGACACAAACTTGATTAATTTTTAATGTAAGAAGACACTCTTGAAGGCTTAATGAATAATAAAAGACGTGTAATAAAATGAGGTAGGTTAAATTGTACCTAATAACCAAAGGGCAAATTTCAGTTCCAGAAACACTAGGCTATAATTTTTCAGGTAATACATTTCTAAATTGGTGATAATACATCAAAGTTTTGGACTTCTTTCATGATAGAAATCATAAATCAGCTAAGACAGTCATTTCCTGTTTTTGATTAAAAGAGGCACTAAAACCTTTTCATTGCAAAGGGCATACCTCCCATTTTAAGTACACACTCAACAGAAAACCTTTTTTCGACATGAAGCATAACCACCAGTGACATGAACAGTGACCCAGTTCTTATGGTTAACTTTAATAACCCAAGTTATTAGTAATTAAGACTCTTAAACTGGAATATTAAGGACACTACATCTTACCTTCTGATCTCTTGAGCTCCTTACGTTGTATTGCTGGTGAGTCTTTTTTGATGCCATTACTCAGGGGGATGGCCTGACTTGGCTCAGACACTGGCACCTTAGTCTCCACTTTGGAGAAAGAGGCGATTCGCTGTAATATGGAACCCACGCTCTCTTTGGCATGGACATCGTCCTGATCGATATCATTGCTGATCTCCATCCGTCCTGACAGGGAAGGTGAAGCAGGGGCCACCTGGACCACTTGGGGCTTAGAGACCACGTTGAACTGTGGAGTCTGGGCTGGAGACAGAGGCACTGGAGATTTGCTGATGTTGGGTACTGGGATAGCTCCAGGAGGAGTGATGGGCTCTTTCTTTTCAATGATGCTGTTGTTGTTGTTGTGGGCCATGGGTAGGTCGGCGCTGTCCAGGCTGCTGATGGATGCAGAGGGACTTGCTGAGACAGTGGGACTGTTGGATAGCGTGTGGAATCTTGGAGGTGGTTTAGGTGCTCCTGTGGATTCCGTCTGAGACTTGAAAACCAAGTTATCAAGGTCAAGAGGGAACTTGTTGAGGCGAACCGGATCTTTAGGCTTAGGTGGCTGGCTGTTGATAGAGGAGTCTCTTGCAAAGGAACTGCTGTTCTGGATGTTATGGGGACTCCACTGCAGACCTGTATTGGTGAATCGTGATCCAGGCGAAATCACTTGTCTCATTCCTGCAGTCTCCATCTGGAGGTCCAAAGAAGGCATGGAGCCATGGCTAATACTCATGGGTTCAGTTGAAATGACCAGAGGACCCTCCAGCTCTGAATGGAACATGTTTCCATGTGAGGAGAACTTCTTCAGGGCAGGGCTGCCTAAACGTTGGGCTTTGAATTCCCCAACACCAACAGGACTCTGGGGAGGGCTTGTGTAGGAGCAGAGTTTTGAAGAGGCCTGGTACTCCAGGCTGGAAGACGAGCTATGGAGACTGTCATTGTCACTTCCTGGCCCGGAAGACGAAGTGAAGCCGTTGGGGTTGAATTTGTTTTGAAAAGAGGCAGCTCGGTTGATCCCAGTATTGGCACTGATAGTGGGTTTTCCCATTGTCCCTCGGTTGAAGGAGAGACTGGAAACCATCCTATTTCTCATAACGGGGCTCTGGGCAGGACTGCAGCTGATACTAATCCTGGAGCGATAAGGAGGAGACACTTGGTTCCCTGGACTCCTCACATCATTTGTCTTGTTGAGGATAGCACTCGGGCTGATGGGAGATGTGACAGAAGATGTAGAGGAGAATGTGGGAATCTCGTTCACATCATCAATATCAAAGGACCTCTTCAGAGCTGTATAAAGAAACAAGACACAAACTTGATTAATTTTCAATGTCAGAAGACACTCTTGAAGGCTTAGTGAATAATAAAAGACATATCCTAAAATGAGGTCGGTTAAATTTAACTTAATAACCAAAGGGCAAATTTCAGTTCCAGAAACACTAGGCTATAATTTTTCAGGTAATACATTTCTAAATTGGATGATAATACTGATAATACATCAAAGATGTAGACTTCTTTCATGATATAAATCATAAATCAGCTAAGACAGTAATTTCCTGTTTTTGATTTAAAGAGGCACTAAAACCTTAAAAGGATACACTTCACGGTGAGGGCAGCCTGGAGCCCTCTCTGAATGGACGCCTGTCAGACAGATTTTGAAGGGCCAAGCCATAATTACAATGGTGTCTGAGCAATCTTGCTTTGAGGGTGATATAACAACTGTGAACAGATATGCTTTATTCAAGCACCCAGGTTGGGTTTCGTAAGTCTTTAAGAGATTAGGACTAAGGTAGATGAAAATATCTGCACATAGTACAAACACCAGTTAACGATCTTTCATACAAAAGAGTCGATATTTCAGCAGTATTGAGATAATTATAAATATACTGAGACTAGATAAATGAACAAACAAACAAAAGCATTATATAGTTAATTCGAGATGTACATTTGCATTGTTTTTGCTCCTCATGTAAATGTTTTTCTTTAAGTTATATTTAGATTTTGTTTTTTTAACAGAAAACAAGACAAAGCACACTGATTATAAATTATGAAAGCAGAGAATTTAAAATACCAGACAAATCAAAATCCACACAGACTGTGAAGTAAAAATTTTCCATGTCACCCCTACATCAACTTTAAAAGCATAATGACATTTGCTGTCAATTAAAAACATATGCTAACGAAATGTGGAAACAGTCTCTCGTGGGGCTGAACGGTAAGTCTACACCTGGAGCATGTAAATTGTGGTGACACTGTATAATCCCCTCATTCTCAGAAGCAGCAACACAAAGCCGAAGGCAAACAGTGCTTTCCGACCTTTTCTCTTTGTGAGAGGCAGTGGCTTTTCCTCCAGCACAAAGGACCAATTCAAAGACACAGTGTCAGGGGCTGAAGGCTTGGATTACAACAGCCCTTCACCATGACTGAGAATTCCAGTGGCGAACAGTACAAATGTCCTAACAGCTCTGTGGCAGACCCAATTAGAAGTGGCAGCTTGAGCATTTCACATAGACACCATTGCGCCATGTGATGACAATTGGATCTGTCTAGGATGTGATGCCATGAGGTGTTTGCGGTTGCAGACTACCACGGCTCACATGCCATCTTTGGCATATCACACACTCAGGCACCATGATAGAACGTCAGAGGTTTTCAACCCTCTTCAGTTGCTGCCTTGTGTAAACAAGCAGATATCAGTGTGAAGTTATCATAGCATCTCGCCCAGCAGCCCTGATTTTATCTTCGCCCGGCAGGGGGCAGGGCTGGAGCCAGGGCCGCCTGTCTTCCCGTAGGGTATGCTACCAATTAGAGTCACGAAGACTACAGGCACTAAATGAAATCACATTTCACGCAGGAACAGCCCCCTCTTTTACAGTGAGGAGACCACAGACCCTTTGTTTCAGCTTGCCCGACATCATCCGCACAGCTGTGAAAGTTTAGGCCTAATCGAATTCCAGCAGCAAGACTGTCAGTGCATCGCGCCACAAGCAATGTCATTCTCTTCAGAGCCCCAGAAGGCATTTAATATGAGAAGAACGTCATTAGGGTGCCATTTGATTCAATGGAGGAGAGGTTAAAGTTGCCGTGTGTACTCTCACAATGGAACTCAAAGTGATGGAAAAGTGCACTTTTGCAAAGAAGTACGCACCACTTTAGCTGACTACAGTTTCGGAAAGCGAAAGAAAAGACACGAAGCGAAGGAGGTACAGCAAACCAAGTGGCAAAGTCTAACAGCTTTTTTTACGGTGCAGCACATGCAAGTGTAAACTTGTACTCCCCTTTGACTGAGATAAAAAGGGGCCGGTATCAGGTAATTACTGGCACCCTGTCAAATGCTCAGGAAATAATTACGCTGGCAGCCGAGCGCACCATCTCTGTGCTGTTCAATATTCTCAAATTTCTCACAGCTTTGGTGCAGTTTAATCCTCTCTGTTAACACATGGAGCAGCACAATGCCTGCACAATCTGATAAAAGAGAGGAACCAAGAGAAGCTCCTTCTTTGCCCTGCTCTCTTTTTCCTCACGACTGAGTCTCGAGACTGTTTGCAGCGTGTTATGGTTCTTTGGGAAATGGGATAGAAGTCAATGCCTCCTGTGAGAATTATATGCTTCCTGTCAAATACTTTGTTGACATTCTTTCATTAAGGACATTTTGGGTCCTTTTGTAATTTCCTGTTAATAACTAGGTTCAGTGCAGCTTGGGACTGTTTGACCCTTGGAGAAAAAGTTGATGCACTCAATGGCTACATAAACACAGATTCCCATTGGTTTCTGAAATAAGATCAAAAGAAACAGTTCAACCAAAAATGAAAGTTATCGTTCCAAACTTGTAATTCTTTCCTTTGTGAAACACAAAAGAACATTTCAACAGTTTTTGTCCATACAATAAAAGTCAATAAGGTTCAAAACATCATTGCTCCCCATTGACATACAGTGAAACACTGAGACTTTTTGATCATTTTCTACTGAAGAAATGTCAGGTTTGAAACGACGAGGCTGAATAAATGATGACAGAACTTTCATTTTTGGGTGAATGATCCCCTTTTAAATGTCGCCAGCCACAAATAACCAAAATACCTTGCACAGTGAATATATTTGTGACCCGTTCTAAAGGGAGCCACATGCAGAAGAATAAAAGATACATTTTCTCTGTACGTTCACATAGATTCAGGATCATGGATTTCATGGTTTTACTACACTAGCTGCTATGTTACTTTGGACCTAAGGTTTATGATGAGGGGCTGCAAGGCAAACAGAGAAAGGCCTGGGGATGACTGCAGAGGGGGTCGTTAAAGAGACAGTTGGGGGAGGTCAAGGGGACGCCATACAGTCACTGATGGATGTATGACCTATCCATGACATTTCTGTTAAACACATACAGATCATATGCTCAAAATGAGAAACATTTCCAGTGTAAATGTAGCTCCTCTCCTCATCTGATAGTCCTGAGAGGGAAAGTTTTAGAGATGCACCTATAGGGAGAGTGAATCGTTGGCCACGCGGATTGGGGGGAGGGGGGGCAAGTTTGGGCCTGTTGTGGTTTTCCATCCCCCACCATCACATTCCTCACAGGTATTCCCAGACGACCCCTTGAAACACCACCCAAAGCACATATCTCAGACGTTGCTCGGACCACCTCTGCTAAGGCACATCTGGAAGCTGAATTCCGAGCTGCCATTTTCAGCATTGCAGCGATGCGAATAGGGCGCTGCATTCACACCCCCGGGGGCAATGAAAAACTTTCACACAGTTACAGATACTCTCTATTACACCTTTTTAGCCTTTTGAGTTGAATTTAGCTCCTCCATCATCGTGATCCAGTATAACTGCATGCGCTATTCAACACCAGTGTGCTTTCATTACCATTTCAGATTTGGCATCTAATGTTCCAAATGGGAATGAAGATTAAAACAAGCGGAAAAAAAAAGAAACTCATGGCTGATAATGGCATTTGATGGGCTTCAGTCCACATATACCCAGTATGTGGTATCAACTGTCAGGCAATTACATAGAAACATGCCTGAGCCACTTTGTGTTCTCCAGGATTTCTGTGTCTTTCTAAATGTAACTTGGAAGCTTTTTGTAGAATCTGATATTAGAGAAACATTTTAGAACCTACCTTTCCTAAACATTGATCAAAGGGTAAACAAAGGTTGAATGAAGCTAGACCATCATGTAGACACTTAGTTTCGGGTGGACCTGTTTTTAGGAATGATAATCAAACTGAGGCTGAGCCGAGATAGAAATAATCCATAAACTTACTATTTAATACTAACCTTCCCTCGCCTCCATAAACTACCATTTACACCCCAATACTTTAGAAAGATGAAGTTATAATTAGTATTTTGTGAGACCGCCACATGTCAAATTTGGAAGGTATAAATATTTGAGATAGAGCCAAGAAAAAAGAGGCAATTTACTGTAATTGCCCCCAATCTAGCTCAACCATAAATTAAATATCTGTGATTGACATAACAAAATGCAACATCAGAAAGCTGTGCAACTATCTACAAGCAAAATAAATAAATAAATAAACATTTAAAATAAATAAATAAATAAATTTTTTAAAAGTACAATAAAAATACAAAAAATACCATACAAAATATATCCACACTATGAATTCTGTATATTAAAGATAAAATAAATACAAAATATATAAATTAACAAAACAAAACTAAAATGAAACTAATATAAAATTAAGCATGTATTAATTACCCAAATATTTTGTCTAATAACTGGGTAACACATGCTACGACACTAAATAGTGTGAGTTTGAAAAACCACAAATTGGACAACTATTTTGTGAAACAGTATTTACTGAAACAAAAAAAAAAACAGATAACATCTCTGAATGACATCAGATGGTCAAGTGATGAGTCTTTCATTAAATGACACATTTCTAGAGTTCAAGGTCTAAAGTTTCTAAAGTTCAAGGTCAATTTGTGTGTCATGTTTAGGGAGCAAAATTCATAACTTAACTTGGCAGTCTATTTTTTTTTCTTCCCAGTGGTGTTCATACACTCATATATAGACAAAGTACATAGATATTTCATACAGACCTTCAAGCTTAGCCTCCCTTATCCCACAAGGCTTTACCAGGGGCCCTATATCTCCTCAATCTTTATTCTATGACTCCCATAATGCTGTGAGGAATGCACTGTATAGGCTGAAAAAGCAATGAAAACCATCATCCTTTGTTTTAATGTAGATTTTAGTGAATCTTTACCACGAATCAAGAACATATAGACCCTGGATCTGCTTGATCAAAAATGTAGCCTCAAGATATATATGCCGTCTCCAGAGGTGTAAAGAGTACCTAAAAACCATACTTGAGTAAAAGTACAGATACCTTACAGTGAAAATGACTCCACTACACGTTACAAGTCACCAATTCCAAAACAACTTGAGTAAAAGTCTTAGAGTGCACGCGATGCCTCCGAGGGGGCAATCGGCGTGCACTGCGAGCGTTTTTTCCAAGGGATAAGCTCCGCTCTCGTTTGTCTCTTTTTTCAAGGAAAGAGGGCAGCCATCTGCTTCGCCCTTCCTCTGCCTCCCTGATGCGCTGAGTGTTTGGCTAGCTTGCAGTATGCTTACCCGTCTGATTTTACAATCATGCTGCAGGTCGAACCCCTCTCGTTGAGAGCTGGGTTTGTGCTCCCTCAGCCAAGGTAAACTACTGCTAGCCG